ATTTCATCCCACTGAAGGACCAAAAACGACACCATATAATGAAAGTATTGAATCTTTTTGCTAAGCGACTTCAGGGGCGGGTTTAACAAAGAAGTACTTTATACTCGCGTTACGATCGATTAAGAGGGGTTTTGGGGAACACTCGAAAAAGTAGCACGTACATTACGTACGTACATCGTAAAGTTGCTCGCTAATCTCTAAGATTCATCGTTTTTTGGGAAACTCACCCCAGCTTGAGACAAAAATAGTCACACAGTAACTTCTTATAGTAATTGAAGAGGGAGTTGTGTTCTGCTCATTGTTATTCATGTTTCTTTATATGCTACTGCTTTTCCTAAGATTGGAAGAATTGTTGAACATCCAGAGGCTGTAACTGAAATTCTCAATAGCCAAGAGCTTGTCAAACAGATCATTAATTGTATTGGAGGAGAAAAAATATCTGTTGCTAAAGAGGTAAGGCCCTGCTTTTTCTAGCTTAATCCTCTTTGGTTGTGATATAGCAAGGTACCTTTTGTCCTGAATATTGAAAATACTAATTTGGATTTATTCACATGTGTCACAGATGTTTTTTTGGTGTTTCAGGAAAGATATTTTTGTTGAAGCATGTTCAATCAGTGCTGTCAGTTTAGTTAAGTTTTTTTCTTGCTTGTTCAGGCTATAAAAGCACTTTCCAAAATGGCTCAGACAAAGGCAGGACTGGATGCTTTATTTATGGGCAACTTGCTGAAATACTTAAAAGATGTGATGGCCATAAGTGATGTGGTGCGATACAGAGTTTATGAGGTATGATTTTTTCATTATTTTTTACGGAGCGTAAAAGAAAACCAAAAATACTGGATGGTTTAGTAAGCCAAAATGAAAATATTATGAATTTGGTAATGCTTGTTTTTTTTTGCCTAATGCAACATTTTTCAACCAAAAGAGAGGCTGAAACTTTGCTTTTGTTTTGCCTTTTTTAAGTTCTGAAAAGCAAAGACATGAAAAGCAAATACATTTTCCAGTTTGTTTATTTTTGGCTTGGTTTTTCCTTATTTTGTAGCTTGTGGTTGAAATATCATCCGTCTCCCCGGTCTCTCTGGGCTACTGTGCAAACAGTAGCTTTATTTCCCAGCTGATAGGAGAATTAACAGGCGATGACATTCTGGTCAGGTGAGTTCAGAAACAGGAGATGAAGAGTGACATTATTAACCACATCTACACAAGCAGAACTTTCTTTTTTAAAGGGGAAACTGTTTTCCATTATTGACCTTATGCTTTGTAATTATACAGTGTAAGCGTTTAATCCAAAAAACATCTACAAAAGTCTGCAGTTCAAGTAGTACGTAGCAAATGTGAAAGCCACTAACATTTAACTTTATTACTGAGATCCTACGTTAGATGTTAAATGTTCTCTTTAAATTATATGTAATCACTTAAATCACGGGTTTTTCATTTTTAAGGCTGGAGAACCCATTCATCTGTTCAGTCATTATCAGAAAGCCACTTCAAGCAGTTCTTGGCCTATCCCAGAAGTACTGTATATGGTACAAGGTGGGACCATATTGTGAGTTCACTCATGGCATGTGCACACCCACAGGGAAAATTTAGAGAAACAATTGAGCCAGCATGTCTTGAAGGTGGGAGAAAATCAGAACACCCAGAGAAAACCTATGTGAATGTTGAGCATGTAAACTGTGTAAAGAAAGTGCCCTTCTTCTAGATCCAAATAATACATTTTAAATACTTCCAAAGTTATTGCTCCGTAGAGTATATTCTAATTTTATGCTTTTATGCTTGGCAGGATTGGCTGCAGGATGCTGCAGGCCTTAGAAGGAACAAGTGGCTTTATGATAGGAGATGATATCCAAAATGCTACAGTAGGTTAGTGCATTTGTGTGAATATTATTTTCTTTTTTAGGGCTACAGCAATTGAGATGGTAACAACACTAGCCCAGAGTCAGCATGGAAGACAGTACCTTGCACAGCAAGGAATTGTGGATAAAATCTCAAACATGATCACTGGAGCAGAATCAGACCCTTTCTCCGGGTTCTACTTACCAGGTAAAGATTCTGTTGTCACCTTAATACTTCTCATGGAGTTAATAACACAGTAAATCCTCATCATACACTCATATCCAGTTGTGAGTATTTGAAAACAGATGTTGTTGACTTTCTTCTCTTTGCTAACAGTGATGGTATCTCACCACATTTCATTTTCTAAACACTTACTGATACGGGGGGTGTGGTGGTAACAGGCTGAGCAAGGCCGACCAGACTTCCATTTCCCCAGCAACAGTTCTCCAGTTCCTCTAACTAAGTGGGATAAGCCTTGATCTCTTCCCAGTGGGCCATGCCTGGTACACTTTCAATAGGAGGTGCCCTGGAGACATCCTCACCAGATGCCCAACCCACCTTAACTGGCTCCTCTTGATCCAGATGAGAAGCGACTCTACTCCAGGGTTCTCCCTGATTGCCAAGCTCCGCTCCTCACCCTGTCATGGAGGAGAGCAAGCCCAGCAGCAATACAGAGAAACCTAATTTCCTCTACTTGTATCCACAATCCTGGGTGACAAGAAAAGTGATAGTATCTCTCCAAAAGTTATAGCACCATCTTCTCAATGAAGATTTGTTCTGTCGCTTTTGTGTTTGCACTAGGTCTGGTGAAGTTTTTTGGAAACTTGGCAATCATGGACAGTCCCCAGCAAATCTGTGAGTGCTACCCTGCCTTTCTAAAAAAAGTATTTGAAATGGCAGTGGGACAGGACCCTACAATGATTGGGGTGGCACTGGACACCCTTGGAATCCTGGGCTCAAATATAGAAGGAAAACAAGTTCTACAAAAAACAGGTAAAGAGCAATGCTGTTGGTATTGAAAACATTCCCAAAGGTGGAGATAACAATGATATTTTTATATATGTAAATAATGACATCTGTACTGTACGTCCCAAAGTATTTCATGAATCCGTAAATATGACATTGATCAGTTTTTTATAACACTCCTATAGTAGAATTTAGGTGATTCTAAAGTACCAAAATTAGTTAAAACCCATTGTACGATCCACGTAATTAAGGTGTTTTCATAAGTCTGTTTAGAAAACTGTAAAGCCTTTTCAACATTTTTCCAGAAAATTGTGCATACAAGACAATGATTGACAATATCCAACTGGCATTTAAATTGATTATATTCAAATACCATTTGAATACTACTGGCATTTCCCCATAATGCATTTGTTCTTAGAACAAACATTTGATTAATAACATTAAAGAATATAGAAAGATTCTTTTTCAGACTGTGCTCTTGTAGAGTGATATTAACAATTCAGTATAATTTTAACTGTTCATTCTTCATTTTATTTTACAGGTGAAAAATTTCAGGATGTTTTGAAAAGAATGAGTAATGTGGCAAGAAATGCAACGACAGAGCTGCGTGTTCGCAGTTTGGAGGCAGTAGCTTTACTCCTCACGTTACCGGTAAAATATTTTGGTGCATTTTACATCGAAGGGTTTAGGGTGAAATTTAAGTGCTTAGAATAGTTAGTGCATGTTTTCAGATTTGTGTGAATATTTTATAATTAAATAAAAGTTGCTTTGTCCGGAATAAAAACCACATAGATTATGGGCAGTCAAAAAGGAAGAACCCTCTAACAAAACTAATCCATTAATCTATAGATTAATATTTACAGCATCTATAAAACTGTCACACCATTGACTAAATATAAACAGCCTCTGACACGCAACAAAGGAGGATATGGAACATTTACACACCCCTGCTAATGAGCAGGTGATCCCTGTTAATTTGTTCTCTTTCGTTGTACACGAACTGCTAACTGAATGTTATCAGATGCAGCCAGTGAAATCTTGGGTAAATCCTAGCTACCAATGTGATACTGTATGTGATCATGTAAATGTTTTTGTTTTTTCCAGGCAGAACAGCAGACAGAGGATCTTCTAGGACTGACAGAATCCTGGTTCAATTCCCTCTCCAGCCAGCCCATGGAAATGCTCAAGAGCATCAGTACTCAGCCATTTCCAGAACTCCATTGCAGTGCCTTGAAGATCTTCACTGTGAGTATACACTGTCCTTCCTTGAAGCCCTTTAAAATAGTTTTTTCTTTCTTTCAATTTGCTACACTTGGGTACGCTTGTACCCTTATAAAACATTTCCATGAGAAATTGAATCGGAGACCTAGTGTAATAGATAAAGATGGTTGTGAAATCATATGGTGCAAATTATTCTCCAAGCACTGTTTAGTAATTCATATCCAACTCCCTCCATGATGTAAGATCACAAGAGGCTGAAAGCTTGTTTGGATTATGTTTTTAGGACTTGATTGCTTTGTTTCTAGGTCTCTAAACTGAATATTGAAAATAATATCGATACTTGACTTGACGTGGTTGTTTAAATTTATGTTAACTAAATCTGCCTAAATCGCTGTTTTTTAACAACAGTTCTGTTTTTTTTTTATTAAAGGGGATGGCTTCCCAGCCATGGGGTCAGAAGAAGATGATTGACACTCCAGGTTTTGTGGAGTTTATTGTAGACCGTTCTACTGGTCCCGATAAAGAGTCAAAAGATGCCAAATACGAACTTGTGAAAGCACTTGTAGATTCAAAAACTACAGCGGAAATCTTTGGAAACCAACATTATCTGCGTCTCCGGACTTACATGCGTGAAGGACCGTATTATGTGACAGCAGTCTCGTCTGTAACAGTGGAAGGTGCAGAATAAATGTCAGAGAACCAAAAACAGTAGGGAGACCCTCTCATTTCACTGACTTGTGAATGAGAAGATGAGAAAGTTACAAGAAATAAAAGAGGACATTTCATTTGCTTTGCTTTATTCTTAAAACTTAAGGATTGTTAAATTCAATATTTTTTATGTGATCTTTTATATGTGAAGAATGGACAAAGTGGGAGGAAATACTGTTGAGTTTGTATCACATTTTGGTAAAACAACATTTTTTAGTATGGCTGCAGTAAAATATGTTGCCTAAATTTGTGATGGACTGGACGAATGTTGACTGATGGAAAATTACTAGACTAGTGAAGAGCTGTATTGTAAGTCGTACAGTGCAAATGATATGGTTGGCAATGAAAAGTAAAACATTTTGTAAAACCTAATTGTATTTGACTTTGGTATTGTTATTTAATTGAAATAGTTGATCTACAAGCTCTGAAACAAAGCAACTTTATAAAGCATTATAAAAACTTAGGTTTGAGTTGCTCATGAATTTTTGTTAAGAGTTCATCACCAATGACGTTATTTTCCAAACTCAAGTGTTCCAGAGAGCATCCACGTCTGCTGATTAAAGCTTCAAGGATGTCATGCGCACCCCGTTCCCCAATTCCATTACTGTCTAAATCAACCTTACAAAGGCTCTGATTAGATTTTAACATCTCTGCAAATAGCTTTGCTCCTTCATCACCCAAGCAGTTTTCATCCAGGATTATGTGGCTGACTGAATTGTTGGTCTTCAAGCTGTTAAAGACCTCTTCCCATCCTTCTGTATCTGCACCATTGCTTTGGGCTAGACCCAAATACTGTAGGAATGAATGCCGAGTTAGAAAAGAGGCCACAGCCCTTAGCCCTTTACTGGTGGTCTTATTCCCACCAATGTCCAATTCCAATAAGGTGAAGTTCTTCCTCTCTCCCGAGTGCTGGAGTTTAAGTAGCTCATCTTCTCTGTCCATCTGGAGTTCTGTGAGACCTGTCAGTAGTTTGCAGACACCATCATCTCCAAGCTGATTTCCAAATAACCTGTTGAAAGAAGAATTATAACCCAGTTATCCTATTGTTCCAGCAAAAACCTCAATTCTAACTGTTTGGGTTAGGGGTGACATGACACAAAAAAATCTGAAATACAGCTACAGGTATGGGTAGTTATTTTTATCATGTATATGAGGGACTTTATCAAGCCATTTTAAATAGACAAAACAAGGGCTTGATTTTTTTTTTTAAATAGTTGCTTTTTTGGTTTTTCCTCTTGGAATCATAGTCAGTTTCATGTTTGTGCTCTGTGTGTATGACTATTGAGCAAGTCTAGAATATCCCATAATGTGAAAGAGGAATAACAAAGAGCTTTGTCATGATAGTGTCAGGTTCATTTAACTAATGTGTGAGGAAGAATTTTAGCATTTACCTTTTTTTAAGTGTATAAGATAGTGACTAGTTGGCTTTAAAAAATGCTTTTTACCCAGCAACAGTATGAAAGAACAATTGCAAGCATATTATTTGACATTTTGATATTAATGGTACAACTGCAGGATGTCTAGCTCATTTCATACCTTTTATTTATATACTTCCTTTTGTCTGTATGCAAGGTAGAACTGCTTCTTAAGAAGAATGTGGTCAATTACAAAGAAATGTTCGTAGAGAGAAAAAAACAACTCCTAATATGGAAACTTAGAAAGAGCTTCCTGTGTGAATTTGCTGTATAAAACTCATTGCATTTATCATCTCGGTGGAGAGGTTACTCACAGATCTGTACTGTATGAGGCTGCTCTCAGATCTGCATGATTATATCCTCCCCATGCGCATGTATAAAGGGACTCTGCTTGACCACACCTAACCTGAGTGAAGACTTTTCTTCGACATGTGTAATCACTTTCAATCACTTGTCATCTAGTACTGTATGTCATAGCACTCTATGCTTTGAGCCCATCTTAATACTTACAGTAGTTAAAAATATCATTCTACAACTTAACTGTTATATTGTACATAGAATAATTTAGCACACAGTAGAGAATGATCAGCAATCTTATCTGGAAGCTATATTTTCTTATCTAAGAGAGAGCAATGCAAATCAGGAAGTGCACATTGCAACATTCATTAACACATTTAATCAGATTTATGTACTTCTGTTATTAGACTTACAAAAGGCCTTTAACTTTTGGCTTGACTTTGAGCAGGTCTAACAGAAGTTGGGCTCCTGGAGGTCCTATACTGTTCAGATTCAGGTTTATCATCTCCACTTCAGATGGGCTGTTCATCATTGCCGTTATGAGGCGTCCAAGTAAGTCATCAGTCAGTCCTGTGTTTCTCAGAACCAGCTGTTCAACTAAATCACTGGCCTCCAAAACTGTGACCATGTCATCCACCTGCAACAGAGAACAAACTTCTAGTTCCTGCAATTCTGCCACCATTGTATATACCAAAGTTTCAGAAATCGATAGTGGCAAAGCATTCTTACTCGCTATTCATTAAGATTTTTTTCACACATGTAAGCCATGGGTTTTAATCAAATGTAGGTTCTCCTGCAAACTGAGGGCCCTTCCCTCAAGTGCTTCTCTTATGGTTTCCTTCTACTCTGACTAGTTGTAACTAGCTTGGCATCTTGTGTGCTGAGTTTTATTTTCCTCAAAATCTTTTCCAACACAGTGCTGCTCATTCATATTATAAGAAATCTCACTCACCATTTGATGTCTTACTTTTATAAATGTCATAAAGGCAATCATCACATTAGTCTTTGATCTCCTGCTGTAGTTGAAGATGAACTGAAGCAGTGGAATGTATAACTCATAATGGTAATGGATCTGGCACTGACTGTTGGATTTACAGGGGCTTTGAAAGGCTACATACTTGGCACTGACTGATCAGTAACCTAAATACTCTCTTGTCAGCTAGCCTGACAGTGTGGAATTTGTCGTTCTCCTCTAACAACTGCTTGTGTGACAAGGCTGTACGCCCGAGCTCATTTATCAGCCCTGGATTCTTGGCAGGTAATGATAGGCCAGATGGATTTGTGTACAATTTTGGAAGAGTTAATCAGAACCTGTTATTTTTCCATGTCATTTTTACTATTTGGCTCGTGGCCTGCAGTATTTGAAGGTCACCGCAGAACCAAACATCTGTATTTTCTAGAGATGAGAAAGCCTCTGTTGAAATTGAATTTGGATATGTTGGTCAGATTTGCCATAATACGTACAGTTATGCTTTCTATGACTTTTATTTCACTACTATTTCTTCCTTCTTTACTCGACTGGGTCTGGAACTAGTTTACTCAAGTAAACTAGTAAAGTAGTAAACTGAAGAAGAATAATTCTAGTTGTAGAGAGATTCGCATGTATGAACCCACTTCATCTATCTCTGATCCATAATGTGCTACAGTATGTCTATGCCAATTCTCTGGCAGCATCAGCCCCACTGCTCAGCAGATTAGGTGGAGAAGTGAGAAATTAAGTCACCAGTTCAATTCACCAATCGTATTGAGAGGGAGCTTCAGGGAGTCCAGATTGTGTAAACCCATAGTGCAATGTACAGTAGCATGGACACTGGCTGTAATGTCCTTGCTCTGAGTTCTGAGTACCATGAGATCTTTAATGACCAAGCAGTCAGGATCTTAGTTTACACTACTTCCCGTCCACTAGGGTATAGATTTTTGAAATTCTGGTCCATTGGGAAAAGTGCCACCTACATGTTCCACCAACACCACTTACAGCATCATCCTGGTTTATCTTCATTTTTCTCCCATGGCAGTACTAAAAAAGCCCAGCCATGCTCAACTGCTGATATCTGACATACATTATGCATCTGTAGCTGATGACACATACAAGGTGTCTGACACAATACTACTGTCAGAAGAAGCAGCTGTCAGGTTGACATTACCTGTTTCCTTAGATACTGAGCTTTGTCCTGCATCTCATGGTTCACTTGCAGTATGATAAGTTCCTTGTCACCAATATGTAGAGGTAATGTACCATCAGGCTGGCTTTCTACAGATGGGTGATTCTTAAAATTCTGAGGGCCAGTAAACTTGTTTTCACCTTCTCCATTAGAGCGATGCTCATCCTGAGGTTGCAAATAACTCTTGACTTCTGTGTCTCCTTCCTTCAAAGAAAAACCCTTATAAGGTCTTTCATTTCTTTCCAGCATGGCAGAATGATTGTGTCTATATACAGATGGCAAAAGCAATTCACCTTTGAAAAGGAGAGTGGGGGGAATAAAATAGTTTTGTTAATCATTTAGTCTGGGACATTGGTTTATAATAACCACCAATAATGATTATCTGAACTGTTTTGCAGATATGCACATTCTAACAGAATGCAGAGTTGAGAGACAAACCAAGTGTCAACTAAATATGCAAGCTTGAGATCACAGAGTTTATTTGCTGAATGAATAGATGTCCTACCATTTGCATGCTGGCCAAGTGGTCTACTCTCCTGCCTCTTGATCCTCTGCATGGTGTAATAGCTTGTACTGTATTCGCTTGTGTCACTGGAGTCACTGAGCTCCACATCTGAGGGACAATTCTCAGTGAAAAACACAGAGGACAGTTTCTCTTGCAATCTTTGTCTCTTTTCCACTGAATTGAAGAAAGTTATGACATTAAAGATGAAGTTAGGATGAGAACATTAAGGATTTTGGAGTGCTTTGTCCAACACTCTCTAATTTAGGACTAGTCTCATATTTACACTTGCATTTTAATATCTCAGAAGGCTATTAAGATAATGAAGTTTATAGCAGAAATTTGAGAGGAGGGTTAGATGCTATTCTTGGACAGTTCCTCTTGTCTACTTATTGTATGTAAATCATGTACCTAGCAATTCAGTCAAGATATTAGTCTCAACTGACTTCTAATCCAAAAGTCAATTTTTAAAGCTACCCTTTGATCATTCTTTGGTCTTTCAGGCATATTGGGCATTCCACAAACCTGCACGTAACATCTCTATTTCCAAAACAATAATTACATTTTAGGTGGCCTTCCCATCAACAACACTGGCTCTTCTGATTTCTTGAACTCGAGAAACACCCTCAGTCATCAAGATCAATGGGCGCAATACCTGAGATTGCTTTCCTTTGTCTGAATTAGAATGTGTGTACATTTTTAGACAGGGGTTCTGTCCAGAAACACTTTTTTCTAGAATTTCATTGCTTACCATCTTTGTTGAGCAAGTTCTGCTGGTCTGGGATGTTTTCAGGTTTAGAGGTGATTCCAATTTGCTTATCATGGAGTGTGTTTCTGTTTAACTGCCCCCTTAGTTCAGTCTCCTTTGCACTTTCTTGTTGACAGTGGGATAACCCATCCCGTAGTGAATATTTAACAGACATATTTCCAGCTTTAGAGTACAAAAAGCAGTGTTAGATGCCATACTTTCTGTCAGTACTGTAGATTTAAAAGTCAGCAATCAATTTAAAAATTGATTCTATGAGAAGGACATTATTTTAAACTGGCCAATATAAAGGTTAGCATCCTGCCAGGTTAGCTTCTTTCTAATCTCTGAGGCCTTATCAAGCAGAATTCATGAGATCTTTAACGACTAAACAGTCAGGATCTATTTGAAAGATAGGTAAAGCAACAAGGAGATTTGTTTTAATCTTCTATATATTATCTTAAAGGTATTTTATCTGACAGTGTAGAATGCAATTCATTTTGCATTTGTATTATTGTGAAAATACAGATAAAGGAAAAGCTAACAAATGTAATACTGCCCAGAAGTGGGAGGGCTTTATTTTATTTTATTTTTGTAAAAAATCAGAATGTTACTTACTGTTCAGTGTTATTTCATTTTCGAGCTCATCTTTTTTCTTCTTAAGTTTTAAACTCTTTGGTTTTTTTAATTTTGTCTTTTGCATGGCCGTGGCAGGAATTAAACTATTGGTTTCTTCCTGTGTGTTACCAGGCTGTGAGGACACAGTCTCTGCCATCTCTAGACTTGTTCTTTCTTCAGTGCAGGCCTCCTCACCTGCAGGGGCACTAATGTCTTCTGAACGTTTCTTCTGAACGTCTTCCCTCTGCCTGCGGCAGTCACCTGTTTCTGTAGCGCAATGCCAGTCTTCGTCTGTTGACCCACTGACTGCCTCTTGATAATGTCTTCTGCTGGCCTGCAATGACCTTCTGCTCTTTTTGCCACTTCTCTTTACTGGGATGAACAGAGGGGAGGAGACACATGATTCTTTTTCAGCTGTGGAGAAAACCAATACAAAAACCACTGTTTGGCCACTGCTGCTACTGAATTGAATTTTGGTTCTACTGCTGTGAAACGAAACAAAATTGAGACATTCATTTACTTAGACCAATGCCAAAAATATTTAATTAAGCAGATGTTGCCGACTTGTCTCACAAAGCTCAAATGACTAATGCAGGCATTGTGATTAATCAGGAAAAAATGACATACTGTATTTAATCATTAATCAGGACAAAATACAAATTACTCGTTCTTCCTCCACTCTCATCTGTTGTGTCTTTGCCTGGTGAAGCTTCTGTTTTAATTAGTCTCTTTGACTTTTACTAATGGACCACTTCAGAAACATTTTCCTAGCATTGCAATTTTTAATTTAGTTTGCACTGAACTGTTACAGTATTCAGGCCCTTATGATCATAATTAAGATCTTGAAAATTTCTGCTCCAGCTGATCTTTAAAAGCCCAGTTTGCAGTTTTTCTTCCATTGCATTGGTAAGTACTCACCGCTTTCCAAATTCTCCTCAGATGGAGCACTGCAGAAATTGTTGTCCTCTTCATTTCCTTCAGCTTTCCAAGTGTTCTTTTTCCAGTTTCGTGTGCTTGCACATCTTTTATACATAGAAAATATACAATTTTAAGTTTTAACCAAGCATGAAAACTATATCACTTTCTACACTGTCTTAATAGTTGTTTGTGTCTGGGATCTACAACCCTAGTCCTAGAGGGGCATTGTGTTTTTGATTCCAGGTGAGCTCTGACCACGTTCCTGATTTCTGCTCACTGACCATTTGAGGTTACCTCTAATACCTCCTGGACACTGGTCTCCAGGACTAACCATGGACACAACTGGGTAAGAATATTTCTATATAAAAGTCATTCCAAAATATTCCTTCAATGACCCATTGTGGAATTTGAATTTAGTAACAAATAAAATGAGGTGGAAGTAATGAGGGTATTAAAATATACTGTATAATGGACCTTATTGCATTGTTTCTAAAGCCAAAACCAGAATCACAGTTTGTCAGAATTGTAAGTCTGTATACTCTACATATCATTTGCTTTTATCTAAGCTTTTGCAGTATTTGTGTTTACCAATTAATGTAATCAAAAGAGTAGATTCGTTAAAATATTTGTATTATTAGTGCATATTTGCACTGATAAAAAGCTGTCACCTTTTCTTACCTGTAACATGGCTGTCCTCCCTGGAGATTAATAACTCTGAAGCAGCCCTGTTTTCCCTGCTGGAAGCCTATGGAGTACCTGTATTCACAGCAAGAGCTAATCCTTGTAGCCATGATACCATTGACAAAGAAGGTTGCGCTGAAGGGGTAGCCATAATGTCTTTTAGAAACAAACTGGAAGCATTCTGTAAAATCCAAGCAAAAAGAACTCTTAGAAAGTACTAAAATTTGTAGCAGGTTATCACAGAATTGAAATATAAGATTAGCAGAATAACGGATACATCTACTGTATCCTGAGATACTTAGCTGTCCCTTCGCAACCACTAACAAACTCTAAAATGAATGAGTATTTAAATCTTCAAAATATAAAAAGAGCATTTCAAAAAGACTAATATAATGGCTTTTCTTTTTTTCTTCACCTTTCAAAATGGAGCAGTATTTTTTTTCCTCAAATTGCATATGACAATCACATGAGACTCATTCCTCCTTAATAAGTCGTATTTGTAAAGGCATAACTCCAGTATCATTCCCCCACCACTCAAAAATCATTAAGGTGAACTATGAAGAGTGATGTCATGTTTAGAATTTGGGATGAAAATGAAACTGATGGAAAATCACAACAAGCAAGGGAGCTAAGGTCCTCAACGGAGCAAAAATGATTTAGCACGTTTCCTTTGGTTTCTTCCTAAAGTCCTAAAACATTTGGTTTACTGTAGGTGAACTGGAAGCTTTTAAAAGTCCACGTAAATAGCATCTTGTGGAAACTATAGAGTAAATAACAAAATGGACAAAATGCTAAATTATTTCTTTGATAAGACTTCTCAATGAATTGAGCATTGTTCAAGTTCAAGTTTATTGTCACTATACCCATATACAGGTATATGGTATAATGAAATGCTATTTAGCTAGCTCTCGGACGATACGTAGTACAAAAAAAACAACAGCAATACAATTGTATAATAAAAGAAAGACAGAGATAACAGGCAGTGTGCAAAACAACAACAGGCAATGTGCAAAAACAACATCAGATGTGCAAGAACATGCATCAACAGAATGAAATAGAAGGATAGAAATTATGGGGAGTGAGCTTTTTTACATGTAAGGTAGAGGTAGATTTCAATGTGTGGGTTTTTGGTAAGGAAGAAGGCACTGTGAGGTTCAGATCATAGGTGAGAGGTGAGGTGAGATGTTACTTGCACATATACAGTAACATAAGACTACAGAAATTCAAATTCTGGAAAATATTAAGTGCTGTCCCAGAACGTACCTCCTGGAAGTAAGTGGCCTTTAAAAACACAGATATTCTCTCCCCCACAGATCTGCTGGAAGACTTTCATCTCGTCTCTGGATTTGACTGGAAGCCTTTGTCCAAGGTATGTCATTGTTATGGCTACATTGGATTGCCTGGAGAGTTTCACGCCTTTGTGCCCTTCCTGTAATAGCAAATATGAGTGAAAACTCCCAGAGCAGAATGTGATGGATAGAAAACAAGAAGATATTTCTTTTTGAATCCCCCCTTTTTCACCACAAAAATAAATACATGTTTTTATCCATAGCATGTGATTTGCATGTGGCTTTAAAGGCTAGGGCTCTCACAGTGCACAGCTGCATTTTTGTGGTTTTGGCTTCATATATCTACAATCTGCCATCTTCACTTACTTTTATCAGTCTGGCAGCCTGATGACTCTTTTGTTGCAACCATGTCTGTGACAAAATGGAGGAGAGTGAACTACAGATCCCTCTGTAGAGGTAGGGGTAAGAATGGCTGAGGTTGTGTTTGCGATCCTGCACACATGACGGTGAAGTCTTCTTGTTAATGCCAGGCAGGCGCACTGCTTTGACAGCTCCTCTGTCTCGAAACATATTTTGCAGGGCCACTTTGTCCACCTGGGAATAAAAGACACAGTTAAGCTTAGTCAAACCATATCACATTTTTTACTCTCTTTGGATGTTGTAGAGTGCCAGCAGAGATATTCATGACAATAAAAAACACAAGAATTTTTTTTAATTGTAATGCAATCTATTTTTTGTCTCCGCCTGCTGCTTTATGTACTGAAGAGTGCATCTGAAAAGTAGTGCATTTTAGAAAGCAACATTCCTAGGTAATTGCAATAGCTTCAGTTAATTTTCTTTTAGTTCACAAGGTATTTTCATCACGCATCTGGGGAGGATTAAACCACAGTTCCTATAAAGACCAGATCCATTAAGCCGAAAGAACAACTGTTCTGTGTCATCATGATAATTTGTTCATGAAGTGCCTGAGTAGCAGAAAAAATAAGTGAAAACTTCACTGTAATGGAAGGTACCTGAGAGACAGAATCAATGCCACTGATGTTCTCCAGGAAAAACAAGCCCCTTTCACAGCTACTGTTGGGCAATATACTGTCCATCCCAATGTGCAGACACACAGGCCTCTGATCTCTACCAAAATCCACATAATATGAGTGATATAAACTCTAAAATGAAAATGTTAGGGACAATTACAATCCAAAAATGTTATATTATTTGTGGAAGAAGGGTATCTGGTGTAAAGTTGCTTGTGGCTTGCAGATACAGTATTTTGAGAATTAAATATCAAGTATCGGTAGTCAGTAGTCAATGGTTTCAACATTTTCCGATCACCTTTAGTTTAAGACTGAAAAAATTGACAATTTGAGCTCCAAAATGTGGTGTTGTACTAAAATACAGAAGATTGCAGTTTGATATATGGTTGCAACCTCTGAGCAATCCACTCTTTTTATCTAAACAAACACAGAATGATTGTGTCCTCTGTGTTTTGGTGGCTTTGTAGGCTATTTAAGTAGCACCAAGCCACTGTCTGAACATGTCAGCCTCATAGGACTCTTTACTTCAAAACAAGTTATGTTTACTGTGCAATAACAGGGTCAGCTGTGCCAAACATTTCAGATATTCTTCACGCCAAAACATCAAGGTTGGTTTGCACCATGTGCTTTTAAAAGATAGCCTTTTAAAATCCTTTTTGTTTTCTTTTTCAGTCTTTTCAGATTTGCTAAGCATAAAATAAAACGTTTGGCTTGTGTGAAGTCAAGGCAGCTGTGGAACACTTTAATTTGTTGTCTGGAATTATAATGATAAATTATAATTAACAATGCTGTTATAGCACAACCCCAAACTAGAAATAAATAACAGCAGTTTCAGAGTCTATAAACATTTCCGTTTTATAGACTGAAGGCTCTTGAATAAGTTATGAGAATGCTACAATGGACTGTGAATTTTCTGGGGTATGAAAATCTGTTCAGGTTGGCTTACATAAGAGCCCACTGATGAAATGGATAAAACTTGTATACAACAGTATCTTTTCTTGTGCACTGTGGTGTGTTAGCAGATTTTCAAATTAAAACATCACAAGATTTTTTTTTCAAATTTGTTCATCGAAATCCTCCTCTATAACCTAGTAACTTAATTCATCCATCATCATTATATTTATTAACCGGCTTTTACGAGTCAGGTTTCTCATGACGGATTGAACAATGTATTGAAAAGGAGACTTATTGTTCTCAGCTGAAAACCACTCATCTCACTGATTCGTTTTAGCAGGTAATTCACAGTTGTTCTAAAGAGATTAAAGAGGCAGAGAGACAGATCATCGTGTCATGATTTGGCATTCTCTCAAGGTGTCTTTTTTAATGTTGGTTTAACCACTATTGACAACTAAATGTCTAGGTTGTTATGCTTATTATATGCAAAAAAATGAATAATATTCATAGAATATCAAATTGTTGTTTGTTTTGCTTTTTAACCTGTTTTATCAACAGACCTTTACTTTCTTTTGATACAGAAGAAACAAATTTAACAAAAGCACATAATTTGCATTGGGTATATCATATTTACGTTCAAGAGAGCAATAATAAAGTTTCATGAATGCAAAATAACTGGTTAAGATGTTTATCCTTATATGTTGGAGTTCCACACTGTAAAATAACATACAGTAATGCATAGAGTTCACTTACTTCAATATCTTTTTTCCAAGCTAAGAATCCCCTTTCAAACAAACTCTGAAGAAACTGTTCATTGTGCTTCTGTTGTTTTTTTAAGGAGCCATCCTGATTCAAATTCATTGCACCTTTTCTCGCAGTCCGTGATTAAACTGTCTATGAAAAATCATATCAACATCAGTTAGGAAACACTGTACTGTATGAACATAATATATAATAGGCTGATAGGCTACATTGCCTGCAGCAGTAAACCTTTAAGGTTATCCATTAACTATATATCTAACTTAATAATACATGTTAAAAACAGTTGCTATACAACAAACACATTTTCTTATAAATGTTCTTATGTCATGATAAGACTGTTATTAATAGATAGTGTGCTAGTTTTATTACCTTATAACATTATTTGACAATTTTGAATGTGAAATACAATATCCAATCTATAACTCAATCTCCTGTATGATGGGGTTTTTTCATCAGAGTTGTGAATAAATCTGAACACTGCACTTCCCCAAATTACATTATTTTAACTGTATACATAATTTATATAAGAATAGTGTTAAATATATATACTTATGCTTTTCTTTTCTAATTTCTGATTTATTTTCTCATTTCTTTTTCTTAGTTTACCTATTGGAAGTTTTTCATTATTAATGCATTTTAACATTTGTGTGATGATTTTTACAAGTGAATGTACTGTATGCATTTCTTTATTAAAATAGCTTTTCATTAAAGGTACTCTCTCTTATAAATGTGTTTTGTGAATTAGGGGTACATACAGTATATAATGTAGTGTACTCTATTAAAGGTAAGTTAAGGTTCTTAATTATGTAAATGATATAATAATAAAGAGTAATAATTGTAATAATAAGTAAATAACTTTTAATCTTTATTGAAAGAGGTCTGATGTCAAAGTAAATAGCTTGTCAAATGTATTTGTTTAGTATAAACTTCCAAATTTTCTTGTTTTCATTTGATCTATGTGCAATTGCAAAAAAAAATTTTTGTACTTAAATTCTTAATTTGTACTTTTTAATACAATATAAAGATGCTTTAGGCTGCAGAAACTTGAGCAAGCTTGAACAATACAGTATCAAGTGGCTCAGAGCTGTCAAATGACAGGATATTTTTGCAGGAACTAATTTTCTTTCTGAATAATACATGAGAGAACTTACTGGCAAGAGGCTATTCAACATCTTTAATTGGTAGGATAATTTCTTTACAGAAGCTAAAGAAGAAAGAAGAACTGAGGCAATTAAATTGTGTTCTGTTGATAGTCATAAATTGTTTCAATTTCACAAGCATCCTTATGTAAATCAATGACTAATTCAAGTGCAACCAGTTTCATCTGATAATATTGTAATTTCTCTTAGAAAGATATCGCAATAAATATAGTAAATATAGCAAGTACCAGCAAAAAAATCGAGAAAGCTTAAGATTTATACGAACTGAGGAGCTAGGAATTATTGTATTGTATAATTGGCTACATTAGATTTATGCATTGCAAACTATTGTAAGTACTGTATAGGCCATTAAACTTTTCCATACTTGACTTTTTGTATATATTTTTAACAATGCATGTCTTGCTGAGCATTAGAATTGCTGCATAATAATATATCTTAATACTGTATGTAGTTGTCCATCAACACTAATAATGGTGATAAACCAGGCAGATCAGCATTCAACTGATTCTGTATACATGAGGCCCCTGCATCATATCAAAGCCAAAATTAGCCTTAAACTGTTGTTAAACATCCTATAGAATACTCATGGCACCATTAAAATGTAAAGTAAAGCTTTAAAATTACTCCTGAGGAATACAGCTCTGTTCTATTTGTAATGTTTAATGTACATTTTCCAGCAACAGTACAGGAACAGTTATCATTCTATTACTATTATTCTGATAATTAATTTCCGTGTGTTATATTCATTACAGGATAGTTTAAGGATTTTGACACAATACGGTACAACTGAAAAGTCAAATTTCTAGGCCATATTCACTGGAGGATAATTAACAATCTGTTTCTTCTTTACAGGTTGAATTTGGTTCTGAACTCGGTTTTGCAGGGGGGGTAACTTAACAGTCATTAGGCTTAAATGTAAAATATTTGGCAACAGTGCATTCAGTTATGAAGTCTGTTGAATTGTCTTTTTGCCTATCAAGTGCTAAGCAGGCAAACAAATGATGCAAACAAAATGAGAATATGCTGAAATTCTTGAAGTGCTTTCATAATGTACTCTTCTGCTAAGAAGCTTGAGCTCTGCAGCTGAAATTGCTGCATTAAAACAATAATAACATTCAAAAATCCAATGAAAAAAGTCTTACCTTTTTTGTTGATCGCAGATGTTAATTTAATTAACTTTTCAGGTGTTTCAAGGACGCAGGCCTGGGGTGATCTAATTCTGTCACATTTCTGTGATCTTTTGTTTGCTCCAAGCTCTTGTCACACCAGTGTCGTAACATAAGATGCCAGCAAGTTTGTTTCTCAGATCTG